CAACAATGTCATGATGGATCTCTCGTCCACTCTACCACAACAATGTCATGATGGATCTCTCACCCACTCTACCACAACAATGTCATGATGGATCTCTCGTCCACTCTACCACAACAATGTCATGATGGATCTCTCACCCACTCTACCACAACAATGTCATGATGGATCTCTCACCCGCTTTATGACAAAAATGTCATAATGGATCTCTCACCCACTCTACAACAACGATGTCATGATGGATCTCTCACCCACCCTATCACAACAATGTCATAATGGATCTCTCGTCCACCCAACCACAACAATATCATAATGGATCGCTCACCCACTCTACCACAACAATGCCATAATGGATCTCTCACCCACTCTACCACAACAATATCATAATGGATCTCTCACCCACTCTACCACAACAATGTCATGATGGATCTCTCACCCACTCTACCACAACAATGTCATGATGGATCTCTCACCCACTCTACCACAATAATGTCATGATGGATCTCTCGTCCACTCTACCACAACAATGTCATGATGGATCTCTCGTCCACTCTACCACAACAATGTCATGATGGATCTCTCACCCGCTTTATGACAAAAATGTCATAATGGATCTCTCACCCACTCTACAACAACGATGTCATGATGGATCTCTCACCCACCCTACCACAACAATGTCATAATGGATCTCTCACCCACTCTACCACAACAATGTCATAATGGATCTCTCACCCACTCTACCACAACAATGTCATGATGGATCTCTCACCCACTCTACCACAACAATGTCATGATGGATCTCTCACCCATCCTACCACAACAATGTCATAATGGATCTCTCGTCCACTCTACCACAACAATGTCATGATGGATCTCTCACCCACTCTACCACAACAATGTCATGATGGATCTCTCACCCACTCTACCACAACAATGTCATGATGGATCTCTCGTCCACTCTACCACAACAATGTCATGATGGATCTCTCACCCACTCTACCACAACAATGTCATGATGGATCTCTCACCCGCTTTATGACAAAAATGTCATAATGGATCTCTCACCCACTCTACAACAACGATGTCATGATGGATCTCTCACCCACCCTATCACAACAATGTCATAATGGATCTCTCGTCCACCCAACCACAACAATATCATAATGGATCGCTCACCCACTCTACCACAACAATGCCATAATGGATCTCTCACCCACTCTACCACAACAATATCATAATGGATCTCTCACCCACTCTACCACAACAATGTCATGATGGATCTCTCACCCACTCTACCACAACAATGTCATGATGGATCTCTCACCCACTCTACCACAATAATGTCATGATGGATCTCTCGTCCACTCTACCACAACAATGTCATGATGGATCTCTCACCCACTCTACCACAACAATGTCATGATGGATCTCTCACCCGCTTTATGACAAAAATGTCATAATGGATCTCTCGCCCACTCTACAACAACGATGTCATGATGGATCTCTCACCCACTCTACCACAATAATGTCATGATGGATCTCTCGTCCACTCTACCACAACAATGTCATGATGGATCTCTCACCCACTCTACCACAACAATGTCATGATGGATCTCTCACCCGCTTTATGACAAAAATGTCATAATGGATCTCTCGCCCACTCTACCACAACAATGTCATGATGGATCTCTCACCCACTCTACCACAACAATGTCATAATGGATCTCTCACCCATCCTACCACAACAATGTCATAATGGATCTCTCGTCCACTCTACCACAACAATGTCATGATGGATATCTCACCCAAACTAAAACTACAATGTCATGATGGATCTCTCACCCACTCTACCACAACGATGTCATGATGGATCTCTCACCCACCCAACCACAACAATGTCGTAATGGATCTCTCACCCACTCTACCACAACAATGTCATGATGGATCTCTCACCCACTCTACCAAAACAATGTCAGAATGGAACTTTCACCCACCCAACCACAACAATGTCATAATGAATCTCTCACCCACTCTACCACAACAATGTCATAATGGAACTATCCCCCACTCTACCACAACAATGTCATAATGGATCTCTCGTCCACTCTACCACGACAATGTCATGATGGATCTCTCACCCACCCTACCACAACAATGTCCAAATGGAACTCTCACCCACTTTACCACAACAATGTCATAATGGATCTCTCACCCACTCTACCACAACAATGTCATGATGGATCTCTCACCCAGTCTACCACAACAATATCATAATGGATATCTCACCCAAACTAAAACTACAATGTCATGATGGATCTCTCACCCACTTTACCACAACAATGTCATGAAGGATCTCTCACCCACTCTACCACAACAATGTCATAATGGAACTCTCACCCACTCTATCACAACAATGTCATAATGGAACTCTCCCCCCCCCCCCCCCCCCCCCCCCCGTACCACAACAATGTCATGATGGATCTCTCGTCCACTCTACCACAACAATGTCATGATGGATCTCTCACCCACCCTATCACAACAATGTCATAATGGATCTCTCGTCCACCCAACCACAACAATATCATAATGGATCGCTCACCCACTCTACCACAACAATGCCATAATGGATCTCTCACCCACTCTACCACAACAATATCATAATGGATCTCTCACCCACTCTACCACAACAATGTCATGATGGATCTCTCACCCACTCTACCACAACAATGTCATGATGGATCTCTCACCCACTCTACCACAATAATGTCATGATGGATCTCTCGTCCACTCTACCACAACAATGTCATGATGGATCTCTCACCCACTCTACCACAACAATGTCATGAAGGATCTCTCACCCGCTTTATGACAAAAATGTCATAATGGATCTCTCACCCACTCTACAACAACGATGTCATGATGGATCTCTCACCCACCCTACCACAACAATGTCATGATGGATCTCTCACCCACTCTACCACAACAATGTCATAATGGATCTCTCACCCATCCTACCACAACAATGTCATAATGGATATCTCGTCCACTCTACCACAACAATGTCATGATGGATATCTCACCCAAACTAAAACTACAATGTCATGATTGATCTCTCACCCACTCTACCACAACGATGTCATGATGGATCTCTCACCCACCCAACCACAACAATGTCGTAATGGATCTCTCACCCACTCTACCACAACAATGTCATGATGGATCTCTCACCCACTCTACCACAACAATGTCATAATGGAACTGTCACCCACTCTACGACAACAATGTCATAATGGATCTCTCGTCCACTCTACCACAACAATGTCATGATGGATCTCTCACCCACCCTACCACAACAATGTCCAAATGGAACTCTCACCCACTTTACCACAACAATGTCATAATGGATCTCTCACCCACTCTACCACAACAATGTCATGATGGATCTCTCACCCAGTCTACCACAACAATGTCATAATGGATATCTCACCCAAACTAAAACTACAATGTCATGATGGATCTCTCACCCACCCTACCACAACAATGTCCAAATGGAACTCTCACCCACTTTACCACAACAATGTCATGAAGGATCTCTCACCCACTCTACCACAACAATGTCATAATCGAACTCTCACCCACTCTACCACAACAATGTCATAATGGAACTCTCACCCACCCTATCACAACAATGTCATGATGGATCTCCCACCCAGTCTACCACAACAATGTCATAATGGATCTCTCACCCACTCTATTACAACAATGTCATGAAGGATCTCTCCCCCACCCTACCACAACAATGTCATAATGGATCTCTCACCCACTCTATCACAACAATGTCATAATGGATCTCTCACCCACTCTATCACAACAATGTCATGAAGGATCTCTCACCCACTCTACCACAACAATGACATGAAGGATCTCTCACCCACTCTACCACAACAATGTCATGAAGGATCTCTCACCCGGTGTATGACAACAATGTCATGAGGGATCTCTCGTCCAATCTACCACAACAATATCATGAAGGATCTCTCACCCGCTGTATGACAACAATGTCATGAGGGATCTCTCGTCCACTCTACCACAACAATGTCATGAACGATCTCTCACCCACTCTACCACAACAATGTCATGAAGGATCTCTCACCCACTCTACCACAACAATATCATGAAGAATCTCTCACCCGCTGTATGACAACAATGTCATGAAGGATCTCTCACCCACTCTACCACAACAATGTCATGAAGGATCTCTCACCCACTCTACCACAACAATATCATGAAGGATCTCTCACCCGCTGTATGACAACAATGTCATGAAGGATCTCTCACCCACTCTACCACAACAATGTCATGAAGGATCTCTCACCCACTCTACCACAACAATATCATGAAGGATCTCTCACCCGCTGTATGACAACAATGTCATGAAGGATCTCTCACCCACCCTACCACAACAATGTCATAATGGATCGCTCACCCACTCTACCACAACAATGTCATGAAGGATCTCTCACCCACCCTACCTCAACAATGTCATGAAGGATCTCTCACCCACTCTACCACAACAATGTCATGAAGGATCTCTCACCCGCTGTATGACAACAATGTCATGAGGGATCTCTCGTCCACTCTACCATAACAATATCATGAAGGATCTCTCACCCGCTGTATGACAACAATGTCATGAGGGATCTCTCGTCCACTCTACCACAACAATGTCATGATGGATCTCTCACCCACTCTACCACAACAATGTCATGATGGATCTTTCGTCCACTCTACCACAACAATGTCATGATGGATCTCTCACCCACTCTACCACAACGATGTCATAATGGAACTGTCACCCACTCTATCACAACAATGTCATGTTGGATCTCTCACCCACTCTGCCAAAATAGTGTCATGGTTGCCTTTCTCCCACTCTACCACAACGATGTCATGATGCACCTCTCAATCACTCTATCACAACAATGCCATGAAGGATCTCTCACCGGCTCTACAACAAATATGGCGAAGTCTGCCTGCTGACGGACTAGGAAGGGGATGAGGTGATTGAGGAGCACCACAAGGTGGCGTTGTCTGTTCCTGTATGCCACAATGACAGCTGTCTTAGTTCGAGACACACACTCTGGGGGCTTGAAGTGACCGCCTGGTCGACTCGAGATATACTTTCCGATAAGTCCTTCCAGCGTGACCAGACTCTCGTTTATGGAAGAAACACCAACTAAAACAAGAAGAGATTACAGCCTCCATCAATGTATTACAGTCTCCTTCAATGTATCACAGCCTCCATCAATGTATTACAGTCTACATCAATGTATTACAGCCTCCGTCAATGTATTACAGTCTACATCAATGTATTAGAGCTTCCATCAACATTACTGTCTACATCAATGTATTACAGCCTCAATCAATGTATTACAGCCTCCATCAATGTATTACAGTCTACATCAATGTATTACAGCTTCCATCATTGTATTACAGCCTCCATCAATGTATTATAGTCTACATCAATGCTTGGTATGACTGTATTACAGCCTCCATCAATGTATTACAGCCTCCATCAATGCATAACAGCCTCAATCAATGAATTACAGTCTACATCAATGTATTACAATCCCCATCAATGTATTACAGCCTCCATCGATGTATTACAGTCTACATAACTGTATTACAGCCTCAATCAATGTATTACAGTCTACATCAATGCTTCTTATGACTGTATAACAGCCTCCATCAATGTTTTACAGCATCCATCAATGTATTACAGCCTCCATCAATGTATTACAGTCTACATCAATGTATTACAGCCACCATCAATGTATTATAGTCTACATCAATGCTTCTTATGACTGTATTACAGCCTCCATCAATGTATTACAGCCTCCATCAATGTATTACAGCCTCAATCAATGTATTACAGTCTACATCAATGTATTACAGCCTCCATCAATGTATTACATCCTCCATCAATGTATTACAGTCTACATCAATGTATTACAGCCTCCATCAATGTATTACAGCCTCCATCAATGTATTACATCCTCCATCAATGTATTACAGTCTACATCAATGTATTACAGCCTCCATCAATGTATTACAGCCTCCATCAATGTATTACAGCCTCCATCAATGTATTACAGTCTACATCAATGTATTACAGCCACCATCAATGTAATATATTTTACATCAATGCTTCTTATGACTGTATTACAGCCTCCATCAATGTATTACAGCCTCCATCAATGTATTACAGCCTCAATCAATGGATTACAGTCTACATCAATGTATTACAACCTCCATCAATGTATTACATCCTCCATCAATGTATTACAGTCTACATCAATGTATTACAGCCTCCATCAATGTATTACAGCCTCCATCAATGTATTACATCCTCCATCAATGTATTACAGTCTACATCAATGTATTACAGCTTCCATCAATGTTTTACAGCATCCATCAATGTATTACAGCCTCCATCAATGTATTACATCCTCCATCAATGTATTACAGTCTACAACAATGTATTACAGCTGCCATCAATGTATTACATCCTCCATCAATGTATTACAGCCTCCATCAATGTATTACATCCTCCATTAATGTATAACAGCCTCAATCAATGTATTACAGTCTACATCAATGTATTACAATCCCAATCAATGTATTACAGACTCCATCAATGTATTACAGCCCCCATCGATGTATTACAGTCTCCATCAATGTATTACAGCCTCGATCAATGTATTGTAGTCTACATTTTTTGTTATTACAGTCTACATCAATGCTTGGTGTGACTGTATTACAGCCTCCATCAATGGATTACAGCCTCCATCAATATATTACAGTCCCCTTCAATGTATTACAGCCTCCATCAATGTATAACAGCATCCATCAATGTATTACAGCCTCCATCAATGTATTACAGCCTCCATCAATGTATTACAGCCTCCATCAATGTATTACAGCCTCCATCAATGTATTAAAGCCTCCATCAATGTATTACAGTCTACATCAATGTATTACAGCCTCCATCAATGTATTACAGTCTACATCAATGTATTACAGCCACCATCAATGTATTATAGTCTACATCAATGCTTCTTATGACTGTATTACAGCCTCCATCAATGTATTACAGCCTCCATCAATGTATTACAGCCTCAATCAATGGATTACAGTCTACATCAATGTATTACAGCCTCCATCAATGTATTACAGTCTACATCAATGTATTACAGCCTCCATCAATGTATTACAGCCTCCATCAATGTATTACATCCTCCATCAATGTATTACAGTCTACATCAATGTATTACAGCCTCCATCAATGTATTACAGCCTCCATCAATGTATTACAGCCTCCATCAATGTATTACAGTCTACATCAATGTATTACAGCCACCATCAATGTAATATATTTTACATCAATGCTTCTTATGACTGTATTACAGCCTCCATCAATGTATTACAGCCTCCATCAATGTATTACAGCCTCAATCAATGGATTACAGTCTACATCAATGTATTACAACCTCCATCAATGTATTACATCCTCCATCAATGTATTACAGTCTACATCAATGTATTACAGCCTCCATCAATGTATTACAGCCTCCATCAATGTATTACATCCTCCATCAATGTATTACAGTCTACATCAATGTATTACAGCTTCCATCAATGTTTTACAGCATCCATCAATGTATTACAGCCTCCATCAATGTATTACATCCTCCATCAATGTATTACAGTCTACAACAATGTATTACAGCTGCCATCAATGTATTACATCCTCCATCAATGTATTACAGCCTCCATCAATGTATTACAGCCTCCATTAATGTATAACAGCCTCAATCAATGTATTACAGTCTACATCAATGTATTACAATCCCAATCAATGTATTACAGCCTCCATCAATGTATTACAGCCCCCATCGATGTATTACAGTCTCCATCAATGTATTACAGCCTCGATCAATGTATTGTAGTCTACATTTTTTGTTATTACAGTCTACATCAATGCTTGGTGTGACTGTATTACAGCCTCCATCAATGGATTACAGCCTCCATCAATATATTACTACAAAAGGTAATAGATCATAGGCACCTAGTTAGTGTAACGCATAACCTATGCAACACAGGTCCCCGGTATACGTACAGAAGTAAAGACAATGCTAATACATCACTTATTGACTATGCCCTCATACCATCCAACATGCGTAACTGCATCATCCAGTGCAGCATACTTGATCAATGTCAGTACGATACTTCGGACCACTTGCCTTGCCTTGTCTGCATACAATGTACACATCAAACCCCACCCAATATGGAAACAACACATGTTCCAAAGTGGCCCAAGGCAGACGAAATACACATAATTATGTATACAAAAGAAGTTGACACACTTCTCTCCTCTGTATGTATAGCATCTGACCACGTTCAACCTGATGTCATAGAGCATTTTAACGAAGAGCTAAGTAAATGTCTTATGAAGGCCAGCTCTAACAATATCCCCCAAAGTGTATATAGATCACATTTGAAGCCCTATTGGAAAACTGATGGGTTAAATCAGTCCCACTATGAAATGAGGTCGGCCAGACGAGAATGGATAGCAGATAATAGACCACGGGGAGGAAACTCTAGATTATACAAATCCTATAAAAATGCAAAAAGGGAATTTAGACGTTTGCACCGAAAATCAAAACGTAAACAGCGCAAAGAAATAAGTACAGAACTAGAAAAGACATGTGAAGCCGATATAAACACATTCTATAAACATGTTCGTAAGTTGAGACGCAAGAGTCCGGTTATTGATAAATTAGTTTACAATGGACGTAGTGCTGTTTCTTCAGCTGATATATGTAAACTGTGGGGTGACTATTATTCAGACTTGGCAAAACCTCACCAGTCTGATGATTTTGACGAAAACTTTAAACTCACCATTGTATCAAAACTTCATTATATCATGGAACAAAATCGTCATAATCATGATCCACTAGATGATATCCTGTATACAGAAATCCAAGTCCCAGAAATAAGATCACATATACACAACCTTAAAAGAAACAAATCTCCAGGACCTGATGGTATCACAAATGAACACCTGATATTTGGAGGAGAGATGCTTGTAGTAACCCTCAAACACCTATTCAATCAAATACTTGCATCCCAGTATTATCCATGTGCCTTCAGAAAAGGCATGATAATACCTATTTATAAAGGCAAAAACGACAAACATGATCCACGTAACTACAGGGGCATAACTCTTACATCGTGCCTATCTAAACTCCTAGAGAAAATCATTCTAAGTAGAATAGAAAAATATACACCCAGTAATCTCCAATCATTCCCCGATACTTTACAATTTGGTTTCAGAAAGGAACATGGAGCAATCATGTCTGTATTCACCGTTTTAGAATGTGTTAATTTTTACCTAGAAAGAGAATCACAAGTGTTTGCTGCATTTTTAGATAATGAAAAAGCTTTCGATCGTATTTGGCACGACGGTCTTTTTGTTAAATTACATGACCTTGGTGTGAAAGGTAAATTATGGAACTTACTTTTCCATAGCTATACAGACAGCTGTGCTTTTATATCCTACAACGGAGAAAGATCTGACGTGTTTCCCATTAAACAAGGTGTTGGGCAAGGTCGAGTTATGTCAGCATGGTTCTTTCTCGTTTTCATAAATGACCTTATATGTGAACTAAGGAAAGCAAACGATGGCCTCTCTGTTTATGGCATCTATATACCCTGTGTGTTATTGGCCGATGACACAACGCTCTTGTCTACAACCCCACGGGGCTTACAGTCTTCCCTTGATTCAGTTCGTTTATATGCCAACAAATGGAGACTCACCTATAATGCCTCCAAGAGTAAATCACTTGTATTCTGCAAAACACGCCAGCGTCATAATAAAGTAACCTACAAATTTGGCGATGCAATAATTGACACTTCCGACTCCGTCAAATATGGCGGAATAATCATAAACAATAATTTATCCTGTAAAGAAAGAATCATGACATGTTGCTCAAAAGCAAGAAAAAGTGTTAATTCACTACGATCACTCGGCCTCAACGACTCAGACCTCCACCCAGTTGCATGTGTCAATATATGGAAAAGAATGATTTTATCTACAAGTTTTTATGGATGTGAATTGTTACCAGCCTTTTACGGTAAAGAACTTGAAATGATTGAATGTACACAACGTTACTT